CATAACTCAAGATACGCGTGCTTCACACACTTCACACACTCAGTTAGGATTGATCTTCACATCTGTGTGTTTCTTCTTCTTCTAGATCACTCAGCTCAAGATCGACCACAATCCTTTCGCAAAGGGTTTTAGAGATAATTATGATTCGTGAGTATATTATATCACTGATATCTCACTTTAAATATAAAGCTGCTTTATTTGCATTGATGGTGCATGAAGAAGCTTTAACATGCATGGAGTCTTTCCATTGCACAAATGGCTAAAAATGAAAATCTTGAAATAAATGGATGTTTTATGAACTTTTCGCTAAAAGAAACCATGGCTCTTCTGTGGCATCAATGTGAAAACCTCATTTTTAAGAGTGTGGAACCACTAAAGGTACTTTTAAAGGAGACATATTAGACATAATATATAATATCGTCTCTGGTGTCCCCAGAATGTGTCTGTGAAGCTTCAGCTCAAAATACTCCACAGATCATTTATTACATCATTTTGAAAATGCCGGTTTTGAGTGGAAGCAGAAACACGCTGTTTTTCGGGCCTGTGTCTTTAAATGCAAATGAGCTGATTCTCCCCGCCCCCTTTTCCAGAATAGAGCTGCGCCTTTACAGCTCTGACCTGCTAAAAACATCTGTTTTGGTTCTGATTTTCATGTTTATCTCGCTGAAATCATGCGTTTTAAACCATATGAGTTTAAACTTCTGATATAGGGTTTTCTGAGCGCACACATCTGAAGCACACGCACAGAAAGCGGCTGTCACAGCATGTGAGGACTAAACTAAGTTCTCATTCACACACAAGCTTACGTTAAAAACACACGAGTTACAAAAACAGTGGGTTATGTCTGTGAAGGTAAACTGCTGGGAAATAAATTGCATGTTTATTTTAGATCTGTGTGGCAGCAGCAATATACAGTAAATACATCAATAAATGCTCTGCTCTGTTGTCTCTGAGGCTGGGACTCTAAACAGTGTTCTGTGCTCGTCTGTGCAGCCAAACACAGAACAGTTAGCTTGCTTTACTCAAACTTTTTATTTCATGGCGTTAAAACTAGTACACCATTGTTGCTTGCGAAAACACAATAACGGCGCTGTGGGTGTAAATGTACAGATTAAGGGGCGGTGATATTATAATGAGATCCCTTTGCCACGTCACCAAGCGAGCGAAATCAGACGCGCTCGTTTTCTCAGACGCTTGCAGAAAAATGCTTATCAAAACAAAGTTACTGGGTTCATCTTTTTCACATTTGCTTGGTTGATAGATGCACCGGGGACCTGATTATAGCTCTTACAACCTGGAAAAGTCAGATTTTCATGATATGTCACCTTTAAGAACGGATCACTGAAATGTTCGAGGAGCCCAAAATATTCTTCTGTGGTTCCCCTTTTGGAACCGTTGTTTTTTTAATCTTATTTGCATTCATCTTTCAGGATGTACACCGTTCCAGAGCGTGAAAGACTCACACCGTCGCCGTCAGACTCGCCTCGCACACGCTACACCATGCAATCCTTTCTACAGGATCAGTTTGTCAACAATCTGACCCCGAGTCGCCTTTACAACACCGAACGGATGGTTTCGCAGACAAACAGCATGCTTTCTCCTCCAGTGGAGGACGCTGGCGCTGCTCAGAGGTGGCTGGTCACTTCAGTACAGCATCCTAGCGGCAGCAAGCTGGAGCTGACGGCGTACGAGGGCGATTATTCCAGCTCGTTATTACCATACAGTTTCAAATCCTTACCTCTGCAGAGCGCACACTCGCTGGGCTACTATCCAGACGCCGCCTTCGCATCCGTCACCGCAGGATGGGGCTCCAGAGGCTCTTATCCCAGAAAAGTGGCATCTGGATTGCCCTGGTCACCCAGACCGGGTCCCACGGACTTCACAGACGACCACATGCCCGATAAGGACAAATCTAGGGAAGGAAACACATTTAGTCAGACTTCAGCCTGGATGGAGAGCATGCCGCCTTTGAAACCTCTAGACTCTGTGGAGCCGAGCATTTACTCGGTGGTTTGCAAACGGAGGCAGGTTTCTGGAACAGAGCAAGTGTGAAGATGATACAAGGCCATCAGCTATTACGCTTTCTACGCCAGCAGCTAGAGAAGCGTTCAGTCTCGTCTGATTTTGGTGTGGATGCGCTGAACTGCAAGACTGATCCACATCACGTGTGTCCAACTTTGATCGATTTGGCCCTTTTGTAATATGTGACCCTGGAGCACAAAACCAGTCATAAGGGTCAATTTTTCGAAATTGAGATTTATGCATCAGCTGAAAGCTGAATAAATGAGATTTCCATTGATGTATGGTTTGTTGGGATTGGACAATATTTGGCTGAGATACAACTATTTGAAAATCTGGAATCTGAGGGTGCAAAAAAATCTAAATATTGAGAAAATCATCTTTAAATGAAGTTCTTAGCAATGCATATTACTAATCAAAAATTAAGTTTTGATATATTTACAGTAGAAAATTTACTAAATATCTTCATGGAACACGATCTTTACTTAATATCCTAATGATTTTTGGCATAAAAAAATTTATATAATTTTGACCCATACAATGTAAAGAAAAAAAAAGTCAGAAATTCAGCAAAGAGCTTTGAAAACTAGTGCCTTTTCCATGACTATAAGAAAACTGGTGACACTTTAGTTTGGGGACCAATTCTCACTATTAACTAGTTGCTTATCAGCATGCATACTACTAGAATACTGGCTAATTATTAACACTTACAAAGCACTTATTCTGCATGACCAGTTAATAGTGAGAATTGGTCCCCAAACTAAAATGTGACCAAAAAATCAAAATGCAAAAAAAGCAGAACAGTCTAGAAGAAACCTAGAGACAGCAACTCAGATCAATAACTGAACGGTCTCACTAAAATCAGTATAAGATGCTTGAGTTGTGATGTATGAAGATCTGAATGGACTGTAGAACTGAATGTGTGTTACATTAAGGGAAATACATGGAACAAACACAGATATGGTGGATTATATATCATTAACATGAATCCAGAAGTTCTAAAGCTGTGTAAAGAGAGATATGTAGATGAAGTGTTGCTCACTAAATGTTGAGGACACTGACCTCTAGTGTCAGAACAAAGTAGTGAGGCCTGAAGAACATCTGATCAGTCCCTTAAAGGGATAGTTCACCCAAAAATGAAATTCTGTCATCATCTGCTTGTTCCAATGCTGTATGAGTTTCTTTCATCTGTTGAACACAAAAGAAGATATTTTGAAGAATGTTGGCAACCAAACAGTTGTTGGTAGACACTGACTTCCACAGTATTTCTTTCCATACTACACTCGCAGAAAAAAAGGTACAAAAGCTGTCACTGGGGTGCTACCTCTTCAAAAGGCACAACTTTGTACCTAAAGAGTCCATATTGGTACCTAAAAGGTACAAAAGTGTACCTTTTGAAAAGGTACCGCCCCAGTGACAGCTTTTGTACCTTTTTTTCTGAGAGTGTATTAACTTGCTCACTAAATGTTGAGGACACTGACCTCTAGTGTCAGAACAAAGTAGTGAGGCCTGAAGAACATCTGATCAGTCCCTTAAAGGGATAGTTCACCCAAAAATGAAATTCTGTCATCATCTGCTTGTTCCAATGCTGAGTTTCTTTCGTCTTTTGAACACAAAAGAAGATATTTTCAAGAATGTTGGCAACCAAACAGTTGTTGGTAGCCACTGACTTCCACAGTATTTCTTTCCATACTACACTCGCAGAAAAAAAGGTACAAAAGCTGTCACTGGGGTGCTACCTCTTCAAAAGGCACAACTTTGTACCTAAAGAGTCCATATTGGTACCTAAAAGGTACAAAAGTGTACCTTTTGAAAAGGTACCGCCCCAGTGACAGCTTTTGTACCTTTTTTTCTGAGAGTGTATTAAAGTCAGTGGCTGCCAGAAACATAATAAAGTGCTCAGCATAAAAAAGCAGCTCACTGGAACAACTTGAGGTTGAGCAAATGATGGCAATTTTCATTTTTGGGTGAACTGTCCCTTTAAAAGTCAAACGTTTTAAGTTTGATAAACCTAAATTAAACCATTTAATGATTTTAGAAATAACTCAGTATTGGGGAGACAACATACCTTGTAGCTTGTGAGTCCTGCTCAGTCATAAATACAACATCTATATATAACCACATCATTTCAATAAAATCATGTAATTTCTCCAACAGATCACGAATGAATCAGATGGCAAAACTCTGATGAGAAACCAACAGAACGTGTTGCCCAGAAAGATTCATTAGAGTTGGGAAATTCTCCAATGAACAACAATAACAATAACACTACTAATAATACATGAACTTTATAGTGCACCTTCAAAACGGTTTACAAAGTGATTGTGTGTACATTCAAATGCATTCAAGAGAAAACTAAAAATGTTACATTGCACATAAGAAGAGCATGTGTGAGATTGAGGGAATGCAGAAGCACTTTAAGACACTTTTCCTGTATTTCGAACTGTCCGTAGATGAGCAAATATCATAAATAATGTCTCAGCGGTCATCTTGGGACAGCTTTTTTCAGTCATGCAAGTACAGCTCCTGATCCAAATACTGAAACACTCTCTAAAACTACTCACGTTTCTTTCAGAATCTCACTTAACCGTTGTTTCTGACCCTCAAATAATGCTAAAATCCTGCGTGTCAGGGTTTCTGCAAGTTCTGCGAAGGCAAGTTTAAGACTCTTCTGAGACCAAGAAAAGAAAATCGAAGGAATAAATTAAAGGGAACTCAATACTTCACTATGTTCTCAATGTAAGTGTCTAAGGAGAACACATTGAGTTACACTAGCAACACTTCAAAGCATGAAAACAGATAAAAATCAACTTTCTCTCAACAAATTTTCATTTCCTATAAACTCCCTTCATATTGATACTTTTTTTTTTTAAAGCAAGACTTCATTTTTTGATTTCAAGATGTTTAGATATGTGTACTTAAAAACAAGACAAACATACTGAGGAAGATATTACATTTTCTTTTGCAGTTCATACCATGACTTTATGAATTTAAGACGTTTTGCTCTGATTTAAGCCCTTTTTAAGCCTTAATTTGCAGAAGGACGACTTAAGACCTACAGAAACCCTTATTATTTCATAATGCACATGTGCAGAGTTTCACTAATTAGTGTTTTCTAATGTGGTTGTTTTTTAAAAACAAGGACACAGAAAAATCTAATGTGCATGATTTCAGATAAAAAGTTCCCATGTCTTCCAGAATGTTCTGTGACTTCCAGCGGTGAATGTTCTCTATATGCCCATCAGATAGATGAAGCTCTACTTTAGAGCATAGAAATCTGACTGATCTGGAAATAAATGAATCCGGTCAGACTTGAATGGGTTTTCTGCTGCGCTGCAGTTCTTCTTTCCATTTCCTCATGGCCCACGTCTGAGCAGAAACTCCAGAGAGCGTCGAGCGTCGTTCCTCCTGCAGGAACAGAGACATTCACATCAACTGATCACATGTAGACCTTGAATGCAATGCAAGTTGCTTTGAATAAAAGCATCTGCCAAATGCATGTGAATGTAAAGTCCGTCAGGTGCATGCTGGGATGCTTTGAAACGCAATGTTTCTGGTGGTCTTCAACCATTTTTGACCAAATCGGAATGGAAAAGGTTAAACTTCACTTGCTACGTGAACACAAAAAAATCATGGACGAGATTTGAAAAGGTGTCCTAATGGTCCTAAAAAATATTCACTCTTGTATTGTTCATTAGACACCGATGGGAAACTAATTTCATCTAGTGGAAACGTTTGGTACTGCGCTCAAACAAAATCTTCCTCAAAGCTCATTTTTTGTGATGTCAACCTGAAATTTGGAGCACAACCCGTTTAGATTTATGGCTTTCATTTTCTCAGTTTTAGAGTAAAACATGTTTTGGAAAATACATATTTCATATAATTTTGGAAATATTTTTGTGCACTTTCATAACAATAAAATTTGATAAACTTTTTCATTTTTTTAATTCACTTTGACAATAATGTATCATTTAGTGCTTTTTTAAAAAGAGACCAAATTTAAGTCTGTGCTCATTGAAGATTTATGACAGTGTAAGTTGAAAATTTCAGGTCTATGCTTGAGATGATTAATGGATTATAACTAGGGTTGCAAAGGGGTGGAAAATTTCCGGGAACTTTCCAAAAATCCCTGGAATATTCCCAAAAATCCTGGAAATTTCTGGAATACTTCCGAAATCTACCCGAATTTTTTTTGCAACCCTAATTATAACTACTGCACAAGTATAATTTAGTACCATAAAACCCTCTAAAAATACAAACTATTAAATAAAAAACATTATCAAATTAAATTACAGTGCATTCATGTCATTGAAATAAAAAAAGGTGATGTTTTTAAGCAGAGGCTCCTCATACACACCTCGTATGCCGGCGGATCTGAAGACGGGACCGGACTATAGGCCGGCGGGGAAGATTCTGGACGCGGATGATCCACGACGTCAGCTGTGTTCATGTGGATGACCATCAGACGCTTTCTCTGCAGGAGCAGCACATCGACACCTGAGCGTCTCGTGTAGTCAAGACGAGGTCATAGATCTCAAATAAACACTGATTTACCGGTTTACACCAGCAGCACAACGTCGGGATGATGAGAAGTGAGAAGATGAGGCCCAGACCGTTACAGGCGACGAAGGCGATGTTTGTGGTCAGAGATTGGGAACTCTCAGAACGGCTCAGGAAATGGGCACGCAGTAAATGTCCAAAAAACTACAAAAGCCAGATGAATTATTAGCATGTCATTACAAATATATATGAGTGTATTAAAGCTATAAGCCCCAAGAAGCCATGGTTTAAATTAACGACGCTTCGCGTCGTACCTAACAACGCCCCTTAGCTGTTATAAATTCACTGTAAACCACGGCTTCATGGGGCTTACTGCTTTTATAAAACGGTTATATACGTAGTAAGGTTTCACAAAATAAAACGGAGCAAATAAAGTGTAATGATATTAATAAACACAGTGTTCTTCCACCAAACAATGTAGCTCCTCAGAAACAGTTGTGGTTGCTACAAAGTGGTTGCCGAGCAACACACAAACGTAAACAAAGGTGTGTGTTACTTTGTAGCGTCATTTACAACAGCTTCGAACGCGGCTCAGCCAATCAGAGCCAAGCACCGGAACTCTCCGCTTTATAAAGATCATTAGGACCCAAGGTTTCATAAGTCAATAGCATGAACTGAATCGTTGTGTTCAACCACTTTTATGGTAATAATTCAAATCAGACCAGGTAAGTTTTCATGCATGAAAGTTCCGATTTCAGATTAAAACATTGTAAGCGGATGCAAACATTAGTTTGTGTGTGCATTCTGGTGTTCTTTAGACTAAACACTACTGAGAACCGCACTAGCATCACCTACAGGTTGTGCTGGATTCATATCAGCAGAAAGAATCACTCACCACATCCCTCAGAATCCCTAAGACGACTATGACGAAGAACACGACGATGGTCGCCACCACATTGCAGATATTGAGCAGATTCAGCACCTGAGACGTGATCACCTGACCATGACAAACATCAGTTTATTTTATTATCAAACACCTCTGCAGATCTGATCATTATGTGTTTTCTATAACTGTCCAGATGTAAGATAACGATGACTGACCAGACAGGGGTTGCGGGTGCATGCAGCTGTAGCTGTTATAACTCCTATTAAAATCACCTACAGACACACAGCAGCATCAGACAGGAGAGAAACATGAACATTACTCAGCATTTCTTTACAGCTCTACATCATGCCGAATAAAACATTAATATATACGCATTACAGATTAAACATTTGGAATAATTATAAGTCTCTTCTGCTCACCGAGGCTGCATTTATTTGATCAAAAATACAGTAAAAATTGATAAATATTATTAGAATCTAAAACAGCTGTTTTCTATGTGAATCTCTGTTAAACTGTGCTGTATTTCTGTGATGCGCAGCTGTATTTTCAGCATCATTACTCCAGTCTTCAGTGTCACATGATCTTCAGAAATCAGTATAATATGCTGATCTGCTGCTCGAGAAACATTTCTGATTATTATCAATGTTGAAAACAGTCGTGCCGCACAATATTTTTGAGGAAACTGTTTGGCGTAGATAAAAAAATTACTTAAAGTATTCATCAAGGACTCATTAAATTAATGAAAAGTGAGAATAAAGACATTTATAATGTTACAAAAGATTTCTATTTCAGATAAATGCTGTTCTTTTGAACTTTCTGTTCATCTGTGAATCCTGAAAAATAAAACGTATCACGGTTTCCACAAAAATATTGTGCAGCACGACAATGACAAAGAAATGTTTGTTGAGCAGCAGATCAGCATATTATACTGATTTCTGAAGATCATGTGACACTGAAGACTGGAGGAATGATGCTGAAAATACAGCTGCGCATCACAGAAATACATTACAGTTTAACAGAGATTCACTTAGAAAACAGCTGTTTTAGATTCTAATAATATTTCACAATTTTTACTGTATTTTTGATCAAATAAATGCAGCCTTGATAAGCAGAAGAGACTCTTTCAGAAACATTAAAAATTCAAATTATTCAGATTTTTGACCATTAGTGTATATAATAAAAGAGACTCACAAAGCAAGCCGGTATTAACAACCAGAGATCGTAATTCCAATAGACGAGTCCAAACACCATGGAACCAGTCAGGATCTCCAGCCACTGCAGGATCACACACACACACACACACACACACACACCCACACACAGACACACACAGACACACACACACAGGTTCAGCTCCAGAGCTCAGAGACTCTCAGCTCTAGATATGTTCAGTTAAAGCAGGTGTTTTTACCCCCAGCACCGCCGGGTGCATCTTCAGGAAGCCCTTCACTCCTGGATGCTCTCCGGGCTTCGACTCTGTGATCTGAAGAGGAGGCTCGGCCTGATCCTGTGGAGCTGAGGAGTTGATGATCACCTCCACTCTTCTGGACATCTTCACACACACACACACACACACACACACTAATGAGAGTTTCACAATCACGTGTTTTTTTTTATCCTGTCAGCTGAAGAACTAAAAGTTATTTCAGTTAAAGCAGGTGTTTTTACCCCCAGCACCGCCGGGTGCATCTTCAGGAAGCCCTTCACTCCTGGATGCTCTCCAGGCTTCGACTCTGTGATCTGAAGAGGAGGCTCGGCCTGATCCTGTGGAGCTGAGGAGTTGATGATCACCTCCACTCTTCTGGACATCTTCACACACACACACACACACACACACACACACTAATGAGAGTTTCACAATCACGTGTTTTTTTTATCCTGTCAGCTGAAGAACTAAAAGTTATTGTTCACCACATTCTTTAAGCAGAAAAACCAGATGAACCTGCGCCGGCGCTCTGATTCTCTCAGTCACTCGGACTGTTTAATTGCTCTTAATTCAGCTTCAGGTTTGAAGGTTTAAGTTGATGTATTTAAAACTGACTCAGTGAATCTTTTGTGTTGATATTTTATTAGTGAAAATCTGTGTTTTGGAGTTTTTGGGTCAAATCAGATCTTTATATACATCAACACATCAAGTTTTTCAATCTCTTTTTTTTCTTCTAGAAATTTTTTAATCATCTAAATGCATGAATTCAGGTAAACTGGGACACCTTTTGCCATTGAGATGACTGGGAAAACGTCCCAATTCACCTGAATTCGCTCTACTAAAGCAGAGAAGCTTGAAGAAGAACATGAGTAAATGCAGATCTTTCCCTCACTTTGTCCTCAGTTAAACTCAGCTCACGTTCATATTAAGTTACTGAATTCTATGAAATGAAGTATAATATGTAGAGGTGGTGTTACCTTGTTGTTGGTGTTTCTCTGATCTCAGTTCTTGTCATTTTCTGTCATTCTTCAGGTGAGAATCATTGGAGAAGCTCCTCCTCTAAACATGCGGAGAATGCTTGTCAAGCATCAGATCAGCAGCTCTATCTGATGAGTTATGAGAGTTATTCACAAACACACACTTGTTTATTTAACTATCCAAACTTGGTCATTCAACAGAGCTCTATTGTTTCGTTAGTTATAAACAACATAACCCATACTAACCCTGACAGAAACTGCATTTTCATAATTTAAAACAAACAAAAAAAACACTTTATTTCTATGCCATTTTAACAAATGAGGGTTTCTACAAAGGTTTTGTCAGGTTTAGCTCACTCTCTGTACCCAAAATATGGTTAATACACAAAATATGAAAACACAATAATATTAACTATTACACGATGAGACACAAACACAGTTTTTTCATTCAAAATGTGTTATTGTTAATAAAAACAGCATATTAAAAGAGTGACCGGACACTCATAAATAACATAACAACAGACGTGAGGAAAAGAACAGAAAGAGAAAAACAGTGGCAGAACGACAGAAAATATTTACAGAATTATTAGTTTGAGACGCTTTCCACTAAAATAAAGTTTAAAAGAGTCTGCATGAGAGCAGGTGAACCCCGCCTGATAACCGCTGGATAACTAGTATTACTAGTGCTCTTCTCAGCGTCTTCTGTGATTCATTTAAATAAAGTAAAGCTTTGTTTTACGTGTGAATGATTAATAATTGAATGTATATGTAGTGTATGATAGTGTCTTGAATATATCCAGAGTGATTTTGGTTAGTAAAATAAAATGCATAATTATTACACTGTGTTAAGAGTAACAGGAAGTCCAGCTATCTGAACGCGCGCGCACACACACACACACACACACACACACACACACACACACACACACACACACACACACACACACTCACACTCATACACAAGCACACACACACACACATTTTAACAATTTATTTAAGTCCACTTAAGAGAAATAACTTACAAGGACGTAAATATTATAGATGTAGTTAAATACATGTACAAAATCATAGACCAATGGCGTGCAACAAGTCTTCACAATATTTGGCATATCACTCAGTTGTTATGGGTATAAATAACAGCGTCTCCTCCATATATGACGGCTGCCTATGATAGAGGACAAAGCACAGTACTTTGCTAGCCGTGCAGCCCTCTTTTTGGGCATCCCAAGTTGTTGAAG